AACCCCCATTTTTTTTAATTTTTTTAATTAAAAAAAAAAAATTAATTTTTTAAAAAAAAAAATGTTTTTTTAAAAAAAAAAAAAAAAAAAAAAAAAAAAAAGAGAGACATATCTTTCAGAATATCATGAAACAATGGTGATGACAGAAAAACATGCATGGTACACAATGAGGTTATGAATTGACCTGGCACTGCAAAAAACATTTTTTTAGTGTAGTATTTTCTAAACCTAAGGTGTGCTTCCCTTTGTAAATTTAACGAATTACAAATGTGCTGGTGTGTCATATAAATTCTCACACACTACTTTTCTGCAGTATGCAGTAAGAACATTTTGAGAAGAATAAGATTTTGTCCACAAATTGAATAACTGCAACAAAATGTAAACAATCTCCCCAAAAACAAAACTTTCAATTTAGACATAATATAACTTAAATCTGACCTGCAAGCCTAGGGCTTATTGAGTCGTCTGTTGAATCTGTCTGTAACAATAGAAAGAATCCTCTCCCATTTTTTTCAGACTTTGACACAAGTGTAGATCAAAACACGTGGCATGTCTATAAGAGAGGCTCAGTGGAAGCAGGAGTCATGTCGCAACTTTGTCTTGATTCATCCTGATAACGTTTTTGAGTATTCCTTTTGAAAAACAGAAGCAGCATCTTGTGAAATTACAGAGAAAGGCAGGAGACCATATATCACATGTCATTAAACTTACATTGTTTCAGCCATCTGCTGGTGGAATTTTTTAAGCTATTCCCTCTTATAGTGTTACATGGCTGTGAAATATAATCAGAAATCTACAAAGCCAACTGGTCAGGCCAGATTACTGGTTTTATCGCAGTAACATTTTGACAGTTTTTAAAAGTTTCGGTGTTAAGAAAAAAAAAAAACTTTTTTTGCTGCTGTTCTTTGCAAAGTTTAAATAAAATGCTATACGAGACTGAGTGAGATACGTAATATACTGAAATGCACTTCACTGAGATTCAAAGAGGTTTTATGATTAGCTCAGGGTCTGTCTCTCCATAACACTCCTAAACTTTTCCTCGCTGTTTGAGCTTCCTCTGCACTGAGAATACTTTCTCAGTAATGGTTACATTTCTGGAAGATGTTTAATTGTGTTTGCTGTAAAAATCTGAGAGCAACCACAAGAGTTGGGAGATAAGGGGCCAACGGGGCATTTCATGGCCCCCAGAGGTACCCGCAGAGGAGAGAAGGACCTTAACTTCAGTTTCAACCTTTGCAGAAAGCGGAGGAGAAGAATGGGGCAGCATTCCCAAAGCACTGTGAATTGCCCTCCTCCAGGATTGTCTTGAAAGCTTCTCTCACCCATTCTTCGTCTCGTTGCATTAGAAGAAGAAAAAATTAAACTGAAAAAAGCAGAACAATGGGATACACATTCATGAAGGTAATGAGGCCCCCAGTGACTTTGTGTATCTTAAATCCACCTAATAATCAGGTGAGCTCTTTGAATCCACAAAGGACAGCAACCATTGATGCAACAATCAGATGGAGTACTCACTGAGTACTCACTGCCAGCAGCAACGGTACTATGAAGACATTAACTGTTTTCAATAAAGACACTTCTTCATTAAACATGCATTTAACATAATTTTACTTTTTGTATTACACATATGAGGTAATTCAACTCCGAATGTACATTACACAGTCAAAAGGATGGCTGAAGATGGCTTTGCAAAATAAGGCACTGTACACAGGAAACTTGAGCTTTAGTCAATGATCTCCGTCGCTTTGGTTGTGTACTGCAAATGTGAGCAAAAAGCCTGCGAGAATACTAAAAAAAAAACAAAAAAAAAACAAAAACAAAGAACGATTCAGAGAAGAAAGTAAAATTTACATGTGCAAAATCTCTTACAGAAACAAAGACAAAGAACATTCTCACTGAAATATGTTGTCTGTAACAAGACAACGATCATGTGGAATTTCCTGAAATGTATTTTTCATCAGATCAACAGTTTTATTTAAAGAGAAAATGCCACTGCTTTAATCAGTTCACTTCAGCCTACTATAGTTCTTTTGAACTTGTTAAAAAAGGGGGGTGAAACTTCGATTTTAAGTCCCAAAAATTCTGAATGATTAAAGAGCATTTAAGTAAAATGAATATCTTCTACCTCAAGTGTGTAAGATATACAGATAGCCTTTTGGTGCAATCATTACACGAGAGTAGAACTGAATAAACACTATTGACAACAACAAGACATCAGCATATTCAGACCACAACTATATTTTTACTCTATAACTCTCTTAATGTGCTGTAAGGTAACACAATTCGTTATTCGTTTTTTTCTGCTTAAATTACAATCAAAATTCTATCAAATGAATGCTTGAGTTGGTGATTAAATCGTTTGCTAATCTCTTGTTCGATTAATGAATTCATGTTTTGTTTTACCTTGTGTGATCAATGAACATGGCTGCTAAATCATCTGGTGATTTGTAAAATGATTAAGCAACATATGAACTGAACCAAATAAATATGAATATTTATTAATAATAATGTGTCACAAAATGTGTTTATTACAGTGCACTTCTAAAACCATGAATCCCACTATAGATAGACACATTTTATCCACTTTTAGCACACAGGCTCATTTTGTGTATTGAACCCTGCATGGTCTACCAGCTTTGACATATACTGTAGACCCTGCCTTGGTAATTATGAGCTACAAAGCTTACTGACCTTGTCAAGATCTCTCTACCCTTCTTCAGGCTCCTAACTGCATGAGAGGAAGGTGTAAATTCTGCTGTCTGGTTACTTCTAGTGTACACACACACACACACACACACACACACACACACACACACACACACACACACACACACACACACATGTTTATGTGGCCATCTTTGTGGGGACTTTCCATTGGCTTCCCTTCATTTCTACAGCCTAAGCCATACCCTTATCCTAACCCTAACTCTATCCAAAACTCAATGCACACCTTAGTCCTAAATCTAGCCCTTGACCCAAAAACAGCATTTCCCCTTGTGGGGATCAGGCTTCAGTCCCCACAAGGAGCAGTGGGTCCCCACAACTTAGTATGTGTCAGGAAAATGGTCCTCACAAGGTATTGCAAACAAACAAACACACACACATATACCAGGACCACTGTTGTTTACTTGCCAGGTTAAAGGGCTGAAGTCAGTGACAGAAAGAGATTTAACAAGGAAGCAAGGTAGGTGGAAGAAGATGAATATGCAGCAAGAATGGAATAGAAAAGAGGGGCAGTAAGGAAGGAGGGTGAAAAGAGAATGACAGTATAAAGCAGAGGGAGGGGGCGAGTGGGGGGTCACGAAGTGATGAGGGGGTTAAATGCCACAAATGCCATGTCTCAAGGCCTCATAAAGACAAGCTCTGCATTGCACCCAAGGTCAGGGCATGCACACGCGCACCTGTCTGATGGGAGAAGTGGGTTTGTGGGTGGGTAGGGGAGTAGGCAAGAGCAGTACAATTCACATTCTAGCCTCTCAGTGTTAGCCTGGCCATTGGCTTTCTGTGCTACTCCACTCGATTCAATTCTTGCTTACAGCACAGTCTGGGCTTTCTCCCGTTGACTTTGGATTTGCTCCAGTAGAATTTCTATCGGGCCAAACAGCAAACAGAAGGAGAATTTGTGAACAATGATGTCAATTTTCTGTGATGCTTTAGAATTGTAGTCTGCTTATAGTTTTAGGATGGGAGTGGAGGAAGTTGAAGCTGTTTAGTCCTTGTTGGTCAGCTTCCAAATATTGAATTAACATTAACACCTGCCTTGTTCAGCTAGGCTCATCTCTCTTAGCAGTGGCAGACGGTTGTTTACAGCACAGGCATAGGCACAGCATCAAACTGGTGCATTGTCATGGGCAAACACCAGTGACACATCTGTATGACTGTATCCTTAATGTAAGATACTAAAGAGTCTTCAAATATCAGTATACCTATTGTGAAGGTTACATGTGGAGTAGCATCGGGTTCTGTTTGTGGACCGGTTCTTCTTTATATTACATTTGGTTCTTGGCAGCAAGCGAAATTAGTTTTTTATGGCTTAACTCCAGAGTTTCACTCAGTGCTTGAAATTCCATATGGAGAACTTCCACCAGGGCATGACAGGCATATATGGGCAGATTAACTTCTTCTCAATAGATTCCAGGACATGAGTGTAACTTTTCTCTCGAGAGCTGGTAGAAGTGCTGGCTGAGCACACTGAACGTGTGTGCATGTTGATGATGGCATGGCCATGTTTGTCCATTTTGATGATATCAAAACACTCACACACATATCTATCTAGGCTGCCCTAGGCATCGTCATCAAATTTATTTTATTGGGTAACATAAGACACAGGTTAGTGTTTTAAAGGCTTCCGTTTTGCTTGAAGTTATTGGTTTGTTTTATTTGAATTGGTCTGTATTTGTTTGGTTTTCCATTGTCCTGCCATATTGCTTATTCACAGCTTGCACAGGATCTCCACAGATAATCCTGCCTCAGTGTTTAACTATTAACATGGGATAATTCTGTTTAAATATGATCTGAAATTTGAAATAGTAATTTAATGATCCATGTATTACAAACAGGTTTGTTTTGACTTTTGCAATTAGTCATGGCCATCATTATCCCATATAACTGCAGATAACATTAAACATTAAAAGTCAACTGTGGAAGACATATGGATGACATATACGCAGTGTTATAATCCCCATTTTGACGATAAAAATTGCTGAACTACACAATTATGAAATGACATTATTATTGTTACCTCTATTTAAATACCTTGAAAAAAATCGAGCCATTTTTCACTGTCTGAATATTTCTCATTTGTATAGCTTGAGCTGAAAACAACCATCATCTTGTCACTATTTATGCACACAAGCCAAACCCAGTATCCAGTGTTCTCCAAACTCTGGGGTGTGCTAATGAGCTTATGGCTAGTGCTCTCCAGCCATATGACTGACATGACCAACCCAAGAGCTCAGTTTGCCTTTCTGTGGTTTTTCTTATACTGTCAAATTGCCTTTTTTCTGAAAGACATCCACAGAAAGCCATTAAAAATGTAACCTAAAACCTCAAATGGCCATGTCAATGCAGACTACGTCTAGGCTGGCACAGTGGCGTATACTTTCCTTTACCTCAAGACCACTGAAGCTGACCTCAACATGCAGAGAGACAGTTTAAAGGATGTGTTTGCTGGTGTGCCCTAGCAAGATGTGTCTTCTTGATCGATAACCATAGGGGAAATGTAGCATTGTCAAACTGTGGTGGCTAGTTATGTGGTGACACCTCCATAATAAGACACCACCACAGTCACATCTCTCTATGAGTCTCTGCAGGAAAATAAGTATAGATAGGGAAAAAAAAATCTAAAGTGGTCATGTAAGGACTTATAGAGTATCCATTTCTATTGACTAAGTCTGGGTTTTAAAATATGCTTGAATACATTTGACAAACGAAGCGATCACTGTTTGCTCACTACATGTTTAACAAATTACAATATGTGTTCTGAAGAGTCTTGTTTGATTAAAAGTAAGTTTTGAAAGTAGAAACATTTAGACAGGTATTACTCATACATTTTCATGTTTTAATTTTTAAATGTGTTTTTATTAGCCGTAAGAATAAAATCTTCAGTCTTAAGAAAAAGTTGGAAAGATTTTTTTTAATTAGTCTACTTAGTGTATTTCACTTCTGTGAATTGAGCCTCCTGAAATATGCTTTTCAAAAATATTAAGACTTATTGAATAAGTCTATAAACATAAAACCTATTAATTAATACTACACTGTTTAATTATTCTGATTTAAACTATAAGTACAATTTATCTGTCAAAAACAAAATCATACAATCTAAGTATATCTATGACAATCACTTTTAGTGAGAACATCAGTTTGTGCAATTTGAAACCACACACTCACAAGTCACCATACAAAGCACAAGAGAAAACAAATGAAAACCGACCTTTTCTAATTATTAAGCTGAAACATTATCATGTTCCTTTTTCTCGTCTCCTCTGAGTAACGGGGTTGCCAGTTCTGAGCTGACAGGGCAAAGCTCATCTATGATTTCATTTCAGAGCCGCTGGGCTGTGGTGCCAAGCTGGCCGGTGCCCATCTGAAGTAAGCCAAGTGTCTGCTCCACTCAGTCTCAATGCACTGTGGTGATTACTGCAATGGTGCGGCGGCGGTCATGGTGGTGTGGTTATAAATATAAGCTCTGGTCTGACCCTCTTGTTCATAACTACGGGTTCGAAGCTGCATTAGGAGCCATGTACAAAAGCATGTGTGCTTCTGTGGGCAACTGAGGTCTACAGCTACTATACCATCCTAGGTTTGTTCAGCCAGCTGGTGCTTCACCAGTTCAGGACAGCTGGGCAATGAATAAAGAGACTAAAGAACAAAAAAAAGAGAAGAGGCTCGGTTGGCTCTGAGAGAGATGGTGTCAGGGATATGAACGCATCGGTGTAAGAGGCCAGTGGGCACTCTTTCAAATTAAGATTGTGCTTTTCTGGGTAAAATGAACAAAACTTTTTTCATATCTATTTTTTCATCATTGAGTTGTAAGACTCAAAAGAGAGGGTTTCTAGAAGAAAAGCTATTATTCTACAAATTGGAGGTCAACTTCTTTGTAGATACAGCTCAAGTAAAGACAATGGGCACAACAACTACGATGGTAGTGCCCTCTTTTATTGAATTTATATAACTACAAACTGACTTTCAGATTAACAGACCTATACAAAGTGAACAACTTCAGGAGTCACGTCTTTTAAATTAAATATCTGTTTTTGCAAGACTAATATACTGAGT